TTTCGTATTGAATTTGTGTGGATTCCGTCCCATGTTGGAATTAGGTATCATGACCGTGCTGATAGACTGGCCAATGAGGCATGCAAGAAATAAAATGTGGACCGGAACCTTGATCTGTCCAATGCTGTACTTAAAAATATTCAAGTCAAAATCATGAACTCTGATCTAGCATTAGGACAGAACCAGACAATGTGATATACTGTAGTCGTGGCCAGAATTAGGCTAGGATATATACATCTGGCAAATTAGTGGCGCTGTAGCCATAACACAACACTCAGCATGTATACTTTGTGATAAACCTTTAAAGCATACACTTGAACACTATATTATTGAATGTGACATTGTCAAAGACTTCAGGCCACCTGGCTTATTGCATCATGAACTATGTAATTACTACATTGAATCAGGAGTGCTTGATGAAATTCTTGCTGTCTATCCAAAATTTGCTGCTGACCCACACTGTTTAGTCCTCAAATATAATATGACTTCTACTGTCTATGAACCTCTGTCCTGTGTGGCAGTGAACAGTGATATCACCCACATGACTCTGACCTATATATACTGTTAATGAATATGATATATTTCTTTGTGTATGAACCTCTGTCCTGCGTGGCAGTGAGAAGTGATACTCCTCTCGGCGTCAAGACCTGGCTGAATTACTCAGAAGAGGCAAACTGTACTCCAAGCTTTGCCAATAAATTTGTTAACCGTAAAAAGTCACCACTAGTACCCGTTCAGGCGGTTGGTCTAGCTAGCCAGTGAAGTCATCCTTCTCGTTCTCCTTTCCTCTCTGTTCCCACCCGCTCATATTTGTAAACGTCACCATTGTCATAAACGTTATCATTGTCATAAACGTCATCATTGTCATAAACGTCATCATTGTCATAAACGTCACCATTGTCATAAACGTCACCATTGTCATAAATAAATCAAACCACAAGTATATAAAAATGCAATACTTCTGAGACACCATAACAAATTACTGTATATATTGAGGACAAAAACACCATTATACTTTAATTTACTTACTAAGACCAAGATACCTGTATATACTGTATATACAGTGTGATGAAGACAAGATAAGATAAGATAAAAGAATTAATAGCTTAATATTTTAGAATGTTGAGAAAGAGAGTTAAGATACTCTGTCATATCACTACTTGTTATCAGTCATCTATACACCTCTTACTGTACCTAGTAAGTTGCCCAAGTCAAGTCCTCCAAAAAACAAAGTTGGTAACGGCGTTTTACATTAAAATTAAGCATCCATTGGTTATGGGATGGGTAACAACCTGCTGGTGGATGCCTTACTGGGTTTTTACTCTAAAGATTAATTTTGAGGTCAACTGGGTCAATAATATAGGATGGCCAATTTGGTCATGTAAATAAGATCGATTTGTCCACATGACAGTTTCCGCTAAACTTGATAATTAAAAAGTCATTACAATATTTACGTTATATTGTGCTATGTTTGGGTTACACACTTTAAAGTGATTCATACTCAGGTGACAGATCCGAGCCAATATAATGTTTATCTTAAGCATGTGTTAATACGAGACGTAGGCCTCTAAATTAAAATGTACAATATGCTCTCAACAAAAACTTCTCGAATGTGAGAATGAGCAGAATGGGGCTTGTCATCTCGGAATGGTTTAAAAAATCATCGTTCATTTTTCAGATTGCATAGTGCTTTTATGTTGACACCACGAGACCTGACAGTTAGCATGTGACACCACGAGACCTGACAGTTATGTTGACACCACGAGATCTGACATTTATCATGTGACACCACTAGACCTGACAGTTAGCATGTGACACCACGAGACCTGACAGTTATGTTGACACCACGAGACCTGACAGTTATGTTGACACCACGAGACCTGACAGTTAGCATGTGTGACACCACTAGACCTGACAGTTGTTATGTTGACACCACGAGACTTGACAGTTTGCATGTGACACCACGAGACCTGACAGTTATGTTGATACCACGAGACCTGACAGTTAGCATGTGACACCACAAGACCTGGCAGTTATGTTGATACCACGAGACCTCACAGTTATGTTGATACCACGAGACCTCACAGTTATGTTGATACCACAAGACCTAACAGTTATGTTGAAACCACGAGACCTGACAGTTATGTTGATACCACGAGACCTGGCAGTTATGTTGATACTACGAGACCACAGCAGTTATGTTGATACCACGGAACCTGACAGTTATGTTGATACCACAAGACCTGACAGTTATGTGGCACCACGAGACCTGACAGTTGGCATGTGACACCACGAGACCTGACCCAGGTTATGTTGATACCACGAGACCTGACAGTTAGCATGTGACACCACTAGACCCTGACAGTTATCGACACCACGAGACCTGACAGTTATGTTAACGATGCCGGACCCTGACAGTTATGTTGATACCGAGACCTGACAGTTATGTTGATACCACGAGACCCTGACAGTTATGTTGATACCACGAGACCTGACAGTTATGTTGATACCACGAGACCTGACAGTTATGTGCCCGATACCACGAGACCTGACAGTTAGCATGTGACACCACTAGACCTGGTAGTTAGAAGTTGACACCACGAGACCTGACAGTTGTTATGTTGATACCACGAGACCTGACAGTTGTTATGTTGATACTGAGACCTGACAGTTAGCATGTGACACCACTAGACCACCAGTAGTTAAGTTGACACCACGAAGACCTGACAGTTATGTTGATACACGAGACCTGGCAGTTATGTTGATACCACGAGACCTCCTGATTATGTGATACCACGAGACCTCACAGTTATGTTGATACCACAAGACCTGACGGTTATGTTGGAAACCGAGACCTGACAGTTATGTTGATACCACGAGACCTGGCAGTTATGTTGATACCCACGAGACCTGGCAGTTATGTTGATACCACGAGACCTGACAGTTATGTTGATACCACAAGACCTGACAGTTATGTTGAAACCACGAGACCTGACTGATTATGTTGATACACGAGACCTGACAGTTATGTTGATACCACGAGACCTGACAGTTATGTTGATACCACGAGACCTGACAGTTATGTTGATACCACGAGACCTGACAGTTATGTTGATACCACGAGACCTGACAGTTATGTTGATACCACGAGACCTGACAGTTATGTTGATACCACGAGACCTGACAGTTATGTTGATACCACGAGACCTGACAGTTATGTTGATACCACGAGACCTGACAGTTATGTTGATACCACGAGACCTGACAGTTATGTTGATACCACGAGACCTGACATTTATCATGTGACACCACGAGACCTGACAGTTATGTTGATACCACGAGACCTGACAGTTATGTTGATACCACGAACAGTTATGTTGAAACCACGAGACCTGACAGTTATGTTGAAACCACGAGACCTGACGGTTATGTTGATACCACGAGAATAGGTTATGTTGATACCACGAGACCTGACAGTTATGTTGATACCACGAGACCTGGCAGTTATGCTGATACAGAGACCTGGCAGTTATGCTGATACACGAGACCTGACAGTTATGTTGATACCACGAGACCTGACAGTTATGTTGATACCACGAGACCTGGCAGTTATGTTGATACCACGAGACCTGGCAGTTATGTTGATACCACGAGACCTGACGGTTATGTTATCTACGAGACCTGGCGGTTATGTTGATACCACGAGACCCAGTTATGTTATACCGAGACCTGACAGTTATGTTGATACCACAGACCTGGCAGTTTGTTGATACCACGAGACCTGGCAGTTATGTTGATACCACGAGACCTGACAGTTATGTTGATACCACGAGACCTGGCAGTTATGTTGATACCACGACCTGGCAGTTATGTTGACACCACGGAGACCTGGAGTTATGTTGATCCACGAGACCTGGCAGTTATGTTGATACCACGAGACCTGACGGTTATGTTGATACCACGAGACCCGACCAGTTATGTTGATACCACGAGACCTGACAGTTATGTTGATACCAGAGACCTGACAGTTATGTTGATACCACGAGACCTGACAGTTGTTGATACCACGAGACCTGACAGTTATGTTGATACCACGAGACACGACAGTTATGTTGATACCACGAGACCTGACAGTTATGTTGATACCACGAGACCCAGGCAGTTATGTTGATACCACGAGACCTGACAGTTATGATACCACGAGACGACGTTATGTTGATACCACGAGACCTGACAGTTATGTTGATACCACGAGACCTGACAGTTGTTGATACCACGAGACTGACAGTTATGTTGATACCACGAACCTGACAGTTTGAGCTGACGTTATGTTGATACCACGGACAGTTATGTTGATACCACGAGACCTGACAGTTATGTTGATACCACGAGACCTGACAGTTATGTTGATACCACGAGACCTGACAGTTATGTTGATACCACGAGACCTGACAGTTATGTTGATACCACGAGACCTGACAGTTATGTTGATACCACGGACCCGACGGTTATGTTGATACCACGAGACCTGACAGTTGTTGATACCACGAGACCTGACAGTTATGTTGATACCACGAGACTGAAGTTATGTTGATACCACGAGCTTATGTTGTGAGACCTGACGGTTTATGTTGATACCACGAGACCTGACAGTTGTTATGTTGATACCACGAGACCTGACGGTTATGTTGATACCACGAGACCTGACAGTTATGTTGATACCACGAGACCTGACAGTTATGTTGATACCACGAGACCTGACAGTTATGTTGATACCACGAGACCTGACAGTTATGTTGATACCACGAGACCTGACAGTTATGTTGATACCACGAGACCCACAGTTATGTTGATACCACGAGACCTGACAGTTATGTTGATACCACGAGACCTGACATTTATCATGTGACACCACGAGACCTGACAGTTATGTTGATACCACGAGACCTGACAGTTATGTTGATACCACGAGACCTGGCAGTTATGTTGATACCACTCACCTTTGTTTTTGTTCATGTCGCCGTGGCAAATCTCGACGAGGACACGTGTTGGAGGCGTAGTCTCGAGGTCTCGGCGGGCACTGGGTCACTTGAGCCCAAGACGAGATCGTAAACGAGTCCGTCCCCTAGTTGAAGAGGCGACACGGGTTTGGGTGGGTGTCTCCCCACTCCGACAAAGTCAAGACTAATCCCGGAGTGGTGATACAAACTTTATATTGTAATCACGTTCTATTTTAGCTGAGCCACCAGCATTACACGTTGCCCTGGTCACTCACTCACTCCGAGAGATATAAAAGTCACTAAATCAATGCCCGAGGGAGAAAGAGAGTAAGCGTGCGTGTGTGTGTGTGTGTGGCACTCGGGCGGTAGTCCAGGAGATAATGATGGGAAACACTCTACTGTGGGCTTGTGACAATAACATTCACTAGTACACATTCACATCCCATATCCCCGACCTTGACTGTTCTGCTTCCTATTGACGGCCCCAAACACACCTATAAGTATCGTCTGGGCTATACAGTCAGTCAAGGTCGTACAGAGGTGTGTTCAAGAGTGACTTAATGCAGCAACAAACAGGTTTGTCACCTTCTTTTACACTGTACGAGAGATTAACATTTTCATCTCACCAATAAAGCAGAGATCTTGGTGGATAATGTGAGGTTCATAGTAAAAATAAAAATAAAAATAATAATAATAATAATAATAATAATAATAACCGGTTTATTAATAGAGTTGCAGCAGGTGGCTGAAAATATACAAACTTGCATGTGATTTAGACATAATGATATGCGTTCAATACATTTACAGGGCTGTTACATAAATGAGGAGCTGTTTATTATTTTAACAATAGATGGGATGGTGCTATTCTTGTATCTATCAGTGCGGGCTCTTATGGGCTGAATTTTGTTGTAGTGGCGGACTGTGGGAGGTGGGCGGGGGATTGCCGGTGGCAGGAGGTGGCGATGACGAGGATGGTGCAGTAGTCCACTGCCAAACCTTGCTAGTGCTTGGTGGTGGAGGTCACTGAGGGATGGCATTTCCAGGGTGGAAGAAGCGTTGTTGTAGCCGGAGTAGTCTGTGCAGAGCATGATTCTGCAGGCCCTCTTCTGTACCTTCTCTAGCTGACGTTGTTGGGTGGAGTTGAGAGAAGACGACCAGGCTGGTGACGCATACATTAATTTGGGGAGAATAAAGGCGTTGTAGATAGTCCTCAGCTCTGGAGTGGGTGCCCCAAGTGACCTGAGTGTGTGTGTGTGTGTGTAAGATGTTTATAGTGTCTATGGCAGTGGTGGGCACAGCTAAACGAAAAGATAACTTCGCTAACCGCTAATCTGCTAACTAAAAAGTTAACTTCGCTCACACTAAACAGCTAAAAAATTAGAGGAAGCTAACGCTAACCACTAACTTTTATTATTATATTCAAGTTTCAACATACACTTTATAATCTTTATTTACTGTACGAAAAGACAGAAAGTATTAAACGAATCCAAAAACTATAGTACTGTATACCATAGGTAGCAAATAGCATCATGGCAAGATCAGATGATCAACTTATCAAGGTGTACACTGTACACAATTTCACAAATAATTAATTTGCATTCTCATACAACCTATCGGCCTTATTCATTATTCATGTAAATATGCAATACCAACCACATACATTATACCAGTGCATTTTTATATAACTTATTGTTGGTCTTAGTTATGTAAATAAACAGAAAACTCTAAACTTTACAGTACTAACACGCAGTCGCAGCGTGCCTGACTGGCTGTTGGAAACACGCGTCAGCGCGTCACACCTCACAACAGACAGGAACAAACATGTATAAATTTTGTTAGCGGACTTAAAGCTAGCGGAACTAAATTTAGCGGGAGCTAATTGGTCCGCTAATGGTTTCCAAAGTTAGCGAAAACGCGAATCCGCTAACGGAGGTTAGCTTCGCTAATTAGCGGTTAGCGGAACCGTGCCCACCACTGCCTATGGGCCTTAAACTTATGGCCCCAATTCAGAACGCTGGTTTGAAATCTCATGAAGGCCTAAACCAAAGATCGAGCAAAGATTGAAGAGGTTGGTATTCAGAACGATGGTTTGAGCCAACACAAAGATTCAAATCAGGTTTGAGATCGGATTTGTCAATCGTCGTCACGTTAATCCAGCCTGGAGGCAGGTTTAACGGTTGGTCCATTGGGCCTGGGACTTAGGGATAGAAATCCCCCACCAGGCTAATCAGGATCTTAATATAGGAAAGTCAAGGACCATGGTTTTCCGAGGAATAACAAACAACCGTTAGAGATTGGCATCTCTTTACTATAAAAATATATCACAAAACTCTGACACCACTCAACAATCATCCAAAAAAAATGATGCAGGGAGGTCAAACAATTAATGGAAGCAACAATTAAAGGAATCAAACAAATAATGGGAGTCAACAATTAATGGATTCAAACAATTAAATGGAGTCAATAATTGATAGAATCCAGACAATAAAGGGGAGTCAGCAATTAATGGAATCAAACAATGAACAAATATTTCCCTCGGCAGTGGCCCTGGGGAAGGTTCTGGAACAGTGATGCACACTCAGGGCAGAAGCGTCCATTCGCCACACTCAGCAACGTCTTGAAAGGCAGGAGAACACCCGGCACCCGACGGAATGTGACAGACTGATGGTCGTGGTATGCGGTAGTAGTAGATGACCAGAGAGAGTTGGCAGTTGATAGGTGAAGGTCTGGGAACACAGCCCACGAGTCAGGACCTATGATGAGATCCTGGCCAGAATTTGACCCGGACAGCAGGGTCAGCTAGGTACTGACGGTATGGCGGCTGGGTTGAATCTGCTCGTGGCGGAGATAGTGCTATATATCACCTCCGTCCAACCACCCCCAAGGGTCATCTGCACCAACAAGTGAAGCGAGTGTAACTGGTATCTGGCAGATCGTTTCCGCCCTTACACTGCTCCCCAACAAAAATCCTACTGTAAGGTAGATTAAACTTAGATTAATTACACAAAGCATAATCATCTTACAACAAATGCTTAAATACATATTGCACAATAAAGAAGGGTCATAGAAAAGAATAGGTGGTAACTTGATATGTCCAAAACGTAAGGCCGTATCAGGAACTGCGTGGGGTCCACTTCAGTCAAGGGTTTAAGTTTGGGCCTATTTTACTGTGGAGATTCTTATCTCGTCCGGAATTGGCAGCAACTGGCAGCAAGATCAACAATTCTGGCGTCCGGAACTTCACGGAACTCTTGCAGGGTAGTGCCTCGACTAACTCCAGCTTGGTGACGTCGTCAAGGACACGACAATGTGGGTCCTGCAATTATATTGCTTTAACAAGTGGTAATCATAATTTAGGCTTCTTAGAGGAAGGAGGTGAGAATCGTCCAACAAAATCTATGGCTGCCGAGAAGATGGTTCACCAACGATGGGTAAGGAGTTCAAGTGGAACAGGGCCGGACTCTACCGCCAGCCCCGGACACTCGTGGGCACTGATCACAATTCACTACAAAAAGCTCTAATATCGCTCCCATACCTGGCCAGTAAACTGATCAGCAACCTTCTCTAAGTTTTCCTACGAGAACAGTGACTTACAAGAGAGAGTTCTTTGTGAGCTACAGAGAGAATGTTACTCCCGACAAACAGCAGGGACAACAAGTAAAAACCGACCTACCGCTAACATTACGCTTGGATGAAACACAAGATATGTAACACCCATTAATAAAACAAACTTATAAACCGACCCATCTCTCACCTGATCCTCCTCCCGGAAGTCACCTTCTCCCTTACCCGCTTAAAAATTGGCACACGAGAGTCTTAGAAGCTTGGCGAGCTCCTTGGGCGTCTGATCAGTATATAAATTCAGCAGAGATCAGGATGCAGTCCGTTTCACCTTCGCCGTCAGTGGCCCTACAACTTGGACCTTGGCGGCAGGCATATGTGGCGGCGTGAGAGGAGGGTGGCGGGCGACCTCGGCAGGTGTGAGTCGTCGTCCTCAGCAGGTGGCGTGGGGACTGGTGCTGGTGGCGAGGGAGACTGGTGCTGGTGGCGAGGGAGTTTAACGTTTCCGGGTCGTTAGGGTCACGAACACCGGGAACGTACCAATGAGGGGCACTTGCACATTAATGGGGCTCTTACCCATTGGTCAACCAGTGATGAAGTGGGGGAGCCGCGCGGAGTGGCACCTAATGTAACGAGAACTGGTGCTTACGACCCTAAATGTCAGCGACACTAACCTTCGGGCAGCTGGAAATGTCAGCGTCCAGAGCAGGGGCTTCTTCAGAATTAATAATGCCACGAGCAACCAGTGTCCTGATAATGGATGCCCTGGAGCCCCGTGAGTTGTTCCTGACACAATAAGCGGGGGCGGCTCTTGTCCACCAAACAGAATCGACCGCCATTGCTGGGTTGATGAGTGTCAGCAGTCTTGAGCGAGGATTCCTGGGACAGCGAGAACGAATGTGCCCATGCCTACTTGGCTGTGACCGCGGCTGGTGAACTACTCCTGTGTACTCCCTGGGGATGGTTCACCGGAGGGCGGAATGCGCAATCTTCACTACAGGAGAAGACTTGGGAGTAGGCGTTGCGAGCAGACGCCCAGTGTCGGCAAGATGCACAGCTTCTCCAAGCGTCGCTGGCTGGTGTTCTTTGATGAAAATTCTGCAGTCTGGGGTAGAAGACAAAAAGCTGATCTATATCCTTGAAATTAGAGAGGGCTCAAGGTTTCTTCAGCCCCTGATGTCTCCAGCCATTGAAATAAACATGGGAATTAGATCGAAAACTGCTGATACGTTTCTCCCTCTCTAATCTTCGTTCTGCGAAAAATCAGCGATAAGCGTCAGAAGTCTTGCAAAATCCTCATGAAGGCTTGCTTCAACAGGGTAATCTCGATGTCGACGGAGCAAGGACGTAATTTCTACCGGCTTACCACTCGGTAAGGCTGCAACCTTACAGCATAGCTATCTGGGGCTACACCAAGCAGCTCAGCTACCCCACTCCAAACCTAACAAGGTAGGAAGCGATGTCTTCTTCACGGTACACAGGCAAAGCTGGGTTTTACCACATTGTCCTGTATATGGCAGAAAGGATGCTGGTCTACTTGAAGCATTAATCTAGCGGATTCAAGTCGCACTACTTGCAACTTAGCTAATTCGAACTCTCTTTCTTTCTCGTTCCTCGAACTCTCTTTCTTTCTGACGTTCCTCCAACTCTCTCTCTTTCTGGCGTTCCTCTCTCTCTTTCTCTTTCTGGCGTTCCTCTCTCTCTTTCTGACGTGCCTCCTCTCTCTCTGACGTTCCTCTCTCTCAGCATTCTGTTGGGTGACCACCCTACTGACCAATATTAAATTTACCTGTAGACCCAGGGCCACCGCTTAGATCTTTCCACCTCAAAGCAGACGCAATGATCCGAAGGCCAAGGACAAGGAAAAAAAGCAAACTTCTTACCCTTAGGC